GGGCCGAGGCTGCTGTCGAATGCTAGAATCTCCCTTTAGGTGCCACCAAGTTGCTGGTGGGTTCATGAAGGTACGGGGACAGCTTCACACCAGGACTGTGTGAACTGGCACAGCCTGACCATGTAGTCAGTGGGTCAGAGCCCTCTGCCTTGCCCTGTTTGGCAGCTTAATATAATCTAACAATGCAGAGGATTGAATAGTAACCCTGATAGCAAAATAAAGAAAACTAAAGAGCTACCGAAATGCTAAATCGTATAAGCCACACTGGCCAGAGAAATCAATTTCTCTCCTGTATCAATTAAAATTTGTTCATAGATGTGTTACTTCTTTCATGATGCCAGTGAGAAGAATCATCAGAAATCATGTGGTTATTCTGCTGGGATTTGTAAAGCACTCTCTGACATTCTTTCGTTGGATCATCGCCACACACTTGTGAACTAGGAGCTGCGGTGATGGTCATTCCATTTTATGGGCAAAGAGACTGACGCCTAGAAAGGTCCAGTTACTTTCTCAAGGTTAAATATCGAGGTGAGACAGAGTCCCAGCTATCCCTGCACTCTTTCTGATTCACTGTACTGCCTCTCAAAATGTGAAGAAATCCTAAGTCATTGATGGATCACACTGCAATTAATTTCCTCTCACATTTACTGAGCATGTGCTATGTCTCCAGGAATTATCTCATTTCATCTCCCCTACTCTTGAGGCAGATAGAGTTTCTTAAAGAAAACTTCACTGAGTGTCTCAGGACAGAAATCTCCTTCCACACAAGAGGCATATCATTTTCCTCTAATAATACTCATTTGATACATAGTCACATGAACCTCTACAGTAACTGTGCTAGATTTTCATATGCAAGCTTTATCATGATGTCAGCAAAGACCAGAGACATATCAGTCTGTGTATCTCCTATAACACACTGAATAGTGTAGTGTGCATTATAAATGCTCGATTAATATGTGATACCTGAATGATTTGTTGTACATGATTTAAAAAAAAATTATACAGAGCCAAGTTTCACTGTAATAGTTATTTCATATTCTAGAAAATTACAAGTCATAATTCTTCGATTACTGGGGTGAGTATGAAATTAGTTAATTATGTTTCTGCTGTGACTTAGATAAGTATATTTTTAAAGTACAGAATTTTCCAGTGGGAATCAGCGCACCAGAGAGTATATATTTCGCACAAAACTGATCAGGTCATCCAAATCCTCTTTGCCTATTGGCTCCTTACCTGATAACATGTTGTCTGTTTTTATGGAGGGAAATTTCAAAGTCATTTCATGCTTGTGCCTATGAATCATCAGATGGTCCTCTGTTGGGAAGCGCTGTTGGGCAAACAGAAAAAAAAAAAGGAAGAGAGAGAGGAGACATTCAGTTTTGTAGCACATATTTGCCATCATAAAGTCAAGCATTTATTCAGCACAGCAAACATGACAGAATTACAAGACAACAAATCAGTCTGACAAAGTGTGAAAACATAAGTAAGTAAAGTTACAAGCTGTTTTAAGCAAGCAAATGTGCTGGGATGTTCCTTTCAATTACACACAAATACATGCATTGTAATTTCCCTCACAATTTGCCAAAGAGGTTGCCTATGTTGCAGAAAAAAATGACTAAGCACTAATAATAAGAACATCTTTGTCTTCAGCCATTCTCTGACTCCCCACACCTTCTCTGGAAACTTTTAAGAAAGGACTTCTTAAACATTTCTTAAATAGTCCCTTGATGCTGACTAGTTAGTAAATTATATGTTTCTTTGGGAACTAGAAGTTGTCATCAAAGGGTAGAATTTAAACTTTGTGTTTAGCTCAAAGATAAAACAGAAATGGTAAGTGTGCACTTAAAGGTATTAAAATAACATATGAGGTGTGATTACAAAATATGGTGACCACAAAATTTTTTTAAAAATTAAAACATTCACTCTATATTTTGATCATCCTTTGTACACAGTAAAAAATGCCTTGCTCTAAAACTGCAGCTTCTTATAAAAGGGGGGAAGTGGGTTTAAATAAATATTTACTTATGCTAATAAAAAATAACTAATAATGGCAACATGAAAAACTCAACTTTTCTTATTTCTCCTTATGAATATGAAAAGACTAAGTCCAAAGTAAGCAAGTAAATTTAGGCCTAAATAGCACTTGGATTTTGCAAAACCATCTGAAACTTTTCTAGTAGTTACTGTTTTACATAATAGCGTGAAATTAAGTCTAAGGCATGGTAAGTATGCCAGACACTATCTATAGATTAACCAAGAGTAAGAGAAATGCATGACATAAAAAGGCATTTGGATTCATGTCAGAATTTGGGAAAGAATTATATACCATGCTTAATTATTTGACATATCTATAAGTGTACACCATGACATTTGTATAGTATGTCTCTGTTTACAGAGATTTGGTCCACCCATTATCAGATTTTGCTTATAATCATACAAACAATTTTAAAGTAACATAAATTATTTTTAGCTTTCTATACTCTGTGTAGTGTAGTGAACCCATATTCTATTTTAATCTACAGGGAATGATATCATGATAGTTAAAATGTTGCTTCCAAATATTTTTGTCAGTCTGACTTTTGCTCACTTGTTGGGACTGAATTTTCTGGCCCTCTTGTGTTGGGTGGAGCCATGTGACTAGCTCACCCTACTGAATCATGAATAGAAGTAACCTGTTACCCAGAGGCAAGCATGTAATTCCTGGTGTAAAATTCTCTATCATTCCTCTACCCTATTCATGGTGTAGCATGGAGACTGGAAAAATTGGAAATCGTGATCCCTTGATCATCCTAAATTTCTGAAGGAGTATAAAGGCTCTTTGTGAATTCTAAAAGATTACAAAAAGCTTCCTGCCAATCTATAAAAAGATCCTTGGGTAACAAATAATCCTTTGATGTTTTAAGCCATTGAAGCTTTACAGTCATTTGTTATTGTAGCGTATCCTTGTCTAGCCTGACTCAGATTGGTTTGTTTGTAACAACAATTTAATAGAATATCTGTTTTATCAATGTCAAATAAAACTATAACAAAACTGCTGACCATTTCCAAATCTTTCATAATTTACAAAAATCAGAGTTCTTAGTTCCTCAGAACAGTTTCAATTATCTTTTATTAGAGTAGAAATGTTTTCTGCAAATGATATGGATTTATGTTCAGGAGAATGAGGACATTCACTGGGCTAAATCCTCTGAAATGGTCTAAAAGTAGTTCTTTGGATAAACATTATTTACTTCTCATTTGTATCATATAAATTAGAAAGAAAAAATTTTCAAGACATGGTAAATATGCCAGGTTTCTGAATGAACAAAAGTTTGTTTCATAATACTCCTCTTTCATATTCCCAGCATTCTTTCTTCTCCCTGCAAGTTCCCAGGTTGTGGGATATCACCAAAGTAAATACCACAATCACAACAGCTGACCTAATTGTGAGCTGCTAATAGAAGACTCCTGGGACTATTAAGTGATGACTACATTTTCTTAACTCTAAGTCCTCTTTGATTAAAAGATGAATATATTTTTGCAATACTTTGTCAAGAATAACACACTTCCACAGCAAGTAGCGATAGTTAAGTTTTAGATACATCTTTCATTTAAAGCTTGGAGGCAAGGAAGCTTGGAATGATTCCCCAAATCAAGAAACTTAGTAAATCCTCATTTCTCATTTTTGTCCAACCTTTTCCTCAGTCCACTCAGCCTTCTTAAGGGAATAATCTGCTCCTTCACTGACATGGTCAAAGCCATTCAAAACCAATCCTATTCAAGGGCTGAAAGGGTAGCTCAGTGGTAGAGTACTTGCCTAGCATTCCCAAGGCCCTGCGTTCAATCCTCTGCACTGCAGAATGTTAAATAGAAGGTTATTTAATGTATTATTTAAAAATGGAGTCTATTCAACTTTTATTACCTCCTACACCTTGGAATTTGCATGTGATTTCATGGGTTCTTTCACACATGCACCCTTCTGCACAATGTCATTATCTACTGGGAAATAGTCCCTGGAGCGCCCATGCTCACCCCCCCTTCCTTCAGTCTCACTGGTTTCTTGCCCTTGACTAAATCCAGCCTGGCTATCCTTTAATTTTCAAAAAGCTGCCTCCCTCTCGGGCTACCATTATATCACTTTGCTTCCCATCATTGCCTAGTGCTCTTGAAAGAGTCCTCTATGCCTGCCTCCTCCGCTTCCTTACTGCCCACTCACTCATTAATCCTTGCAATCTGGCCTCCACCCATCTTCTACCAAATTCAACAGCCTCTGCTCAGTCCTCTAACTATCCCAGCTCCAGCAGTGTCTGACACCAGTGACCACATGTCTGGGGCATAAATTTGTTTATACCCTTTCTGACGCCCAAAAGGAGAGAAGATGGCTTCAAGCAATACACAAAATAGCGGAGTACATCATTTAGAAGTAGATTAGCCGAAAAGAAAAAGGAGTGAGAGCAAAACCAATTTGCATTCTAGCAGTAATCATCCTCAATCAGGGGCCAGTTTGACTCCCAGGGGACATCTGGCAATGTCTGGGAATGTTTCTGTTTGTCACAACTGTGGAGTTCTACTGGGATTGGGTGAGCAGAAGCCAGGGATGCTATTAAATGTCCTACAATGCACAGGACAGCCCTCAAATAATTATTCAGCCCTAAATGAAAATGTTGCCAAATTTAGGATATTCTGCCATATAGTTTGATTACTTGTATGTCATAAATATCAGATGTGACTAACGATCCTTTCTTTTTCTTTTTCTTGAGATGGTGAGGACAGGGTCTTTTTATGTTGCCCAGACTGGCCTTAAACTCATGATCTTATCCTGCTGGTTGTTTCTTTATTCTGTTGATTATTTCTTTTGCTGTGCCTTTTAATTTGATGTGATCTCATTTGTTGATTCTTGGTACTGTTTCCTGTGAAACTGGGGTTTTGTTCATAAAGTCCTTGAATATACCTATCTATGACTTCAAGAATTTTAACTATTTTATCTTCTAGCAGATTAAGTGTTTTGTATAATCATTATGTACTACAAACATACACTATTAAAAAAATTTACAATGCTACTACACCAGCCTCCCAAATTGCTGGGATGATAGGAACCTACCACCATGCCCGGCCTTACCCCTTCCCTGAAATCCTCTTCTCTACTGTCACTCACAACCTTTGGTATTGATGATACTCCTAGGCCACCCTAAACTCTCTTTTGCCTTAGCTGGGTCTCTGGAGATCCCATCCATGAAGTGACCTTTCCTTACAGTACCTTCCCTTAACTTCCCCAAGTCAGTTTCCTTATTCCATGCTTCATGCTGATTTATAGTCTTTTTTCATGGAAGCTGCAATAGACCAATAAACTGATAAATTGTTCGTGTGGTTATCATTTGATGCCTAGACTAGAAGCTCCCTAAGGATAGGGATGCATGTGTCTTGTGATCGGGTCTTTCTCCAGCCAACAAGAGTGCCTGACCCATCCTGGGCACCCTCAAAAATTGTGCCAAGTAACTTGAGTTGAATAAATTAATGTCCCATTGTCACAGCCAGAGCAAAGCAAACTTGTCAAAGTACTTGATTTCCATTAAATAAACTGAATGGGAGTCCGTTTTACCTTAGTTAGAGGCCAAGTTTTAATTTAGTAAGGTGGTGTTCTACATTCACCATGGACTGTCCTGGTCTAGCAGGATTTCCCCCAGTTTCTTATCAACCTGTGTTTTCCTAGTGATTTCTATTTCTGAATGTCTTCAACACCAGCTTGCTTAAAAATAGTTTTCTTTACTGCTTTTCTTATTTGCAGGTTGGAAGTAAACACTGGCACAAAAGATCCTGGTGAAAAATTTCCAGAACTTGAGAGAAGAACCCTGGTTGCTCAGTTAGCAGCCGATATTACTGGCAATATCTTGACTTTCTGTGGCTTCTTTTCTTCAGAAGGCTCCCATTATATTCCAGAAACTCTCTGGAAGATAACGGGCATTACTTCTCACCTGATTCCTATGTGTTGCTCCAGGCAGTACTGCCAAGGCATCACGTAAACAGCCAACTGATGAGGCTTGGTTTCCCTGAGTAGTTTAGGGAAAGGGTGTAACTCAGGAAAACGCCTATGTAATAAGTTCTAAATTTGTCTTATATCCCATAAGTGAAGATCTTGCCATGAAAGGGAACATGTGTGGTCATTTTCCATAGAGATGGAAACTGGAACATGGAGATGCCCAAAGGTCAAGAGTGGAGAAAGTCACCGTCAAGTTCCAAAGGTAAAATGCAAAACTCTGATTTTAGGTTTATGGGTGTTTCTAATTTCTTAAGGAATTACATTTCGTTATAACAGTCTTAGAAGCAGGAACAGTAATAGTAATAAGGCTAGATATTAATAGATTGCTTTTTATGTTCAGGTTCTATATTAAACACTCTATAGGCAGTATCCTCATCTAATCCTCACACTATTTGAATTACAAGAGTCATCAGAACCAAGATATTCAGTCCAGCATGGCAGGACATCTTTCCTTCTTAAAACTTAAATACCTTATAAAAGTATAATTTCTACAAGGGTTGAGGGGCATTTCAAAGGTAAAACAAAATTAAATTAAATTAAATATATGATGGTGAGCTATTTTCACCAGTACCCCATGGGCTCAGCTTGTATCTAAGTGGTTCCTGTGAAAATGAGCACTTCCTTTTCCCTTCCTGAGAGTACTGTGCAGCTAGCTGGTGGGCAAAATATATCTGGCTTGGCTCCACAGAAAGTTAAAAGTGAAAATGTCCAAAATTGTTACATTTGGGGGGGCAGTTCCAACTATTTAACGTGGAATATGGCAGAGGTAAAGATCTTAACGGTAATGGCAGTGATGACGAAGACTCTTGGTGAAGAAGGAAAGTCCAGGGTGGGCACACTTGCAAGGCGAGAGTTGCTTTCCTTTTGGAAGGCAGATGTGTTCACTGCCACCCAGAGCAGGCAGGGACCATTCACTTACCTGGGAGCATCCTGGAGCACTGCAGATGAAAGGCCTCTCCTGCTCCAAATTCATCTTGGATTCCTCATAAATCTGAAGGGTTAGAGGGAAAGGAAGGAAGGAAAACAGAAATTTATGAATATCTTGTGCTTCCACCTGAGAAAGGCTTCCACCATGAAAAAGGCAATGGCTAAGAGGCTCCTTTCCAGAACAATTCCCAGAGCCTACTTTGTCAAAGGTCACTGATCAACACCACCTGTCTGGGCTCCCATTGTGCTTTCTTGAGTGCATTGAAGAAAAATGCCATAAATATGTTGCAGCAGATACCTTGCCTGGATGTTAAAATCCACCGGATGTCACTGCTAGGTAAAACCCACCCCAGGAGATTATGAGGCAACATATACCCATGTCCTCCTGTGCCCATGGAAAGCTTTTGAGGCTGGTCACTAGGACAACAAAACAGACAGTAGCCAATAGGGTACCAACCCTCAATGTCAGGGTCAACTCTGAACAATATGTCCACTGATTTCCCCAGGATCAACCCAGCAAGCTTGAGGATTTCCAAGCTGTACAAACTAATGTTGGAACCAGTTTGCCAAACTATTCAGTGGCTAATGGTAGTCTTACATTCCCTTTCATTCCTGGTGTACAATAAGGCCCCAGCAAAAATTACCCAGTGTGTGGGGATATATAGAAGCCAGCAAATGCACCTTGGATATTTTGTTAGTTAAGCTTTATAAACTGATTTGAAATTAATATGAGATTAATACTGCTGCCTCTCTGATCTAAATTATCTGGAATAAAGTAGTTTTAAGGAGAAAAACCTTTTAATCAGGCATATATGAAATTATACAATAGTCTTTTTAGATGAAGATTCCATTGTAAATGTCCATTGGGCGAACTTTGAGTGTAGTTTTTTGGGGGTTTTGTTGCTGTTGTTATTGTTGTTTTGGCATTAGGGATCAAACCCAGGACTTCGTGCTTGCAAGGCAGGCGCATCACCACTGAGCTAAATCCCCAACCAGAGTATAGTTTATTTTTGCAGATAATTCAAAGCCAATACAGAATACACAATGTTGTAGTGATCCTCACAGCAACATAAATTTTGAAAAAAAAAATCATAGAAATGCTATGAAAATTTAAGTAATTTTCTAAATCATACTTATAAAAAGCAGTTTTAGAGTGGAATGTATATGTGTCACATGTGCTGTTAATGGTACATTCTCTATTATTGAATTAAAAGCTACTGCTTTTACTCTGTACACAGAAAGCAGTTTGCTTCTTTAAAATGCTACTTGTGGCTGATTCTAAATGGTCTCCCACAGCACCTTCACCCTGGAAGAGAGAATTCTGTTTGGAGTCATAGTAAGAGTGACTCTTTACTGAAGGAAGTTTCATTCTCTTGCAACCAAAGCAGCCTATTTTGTATATCTACTTTGTATATCCAAACAACTACTGTAGTGTTTGTCATACCATGTGATATATATGCAATTTTCATTCTGAAACACAAAGTGAAAACTCTCTTACACTGTTAGTCACATACTAAACAACAAAGTTTTAAAAGTTTAAAATTGTAAAATTTCTTCAAACCGCAATTTTCACAGAACAGTACCCTTTCCCTCTTGGCAAAATTCCCCATGGGTTGTATATATTTATTGAATACAGTGTGAAAATGTAACACCATCCATACAATGTGTAATGATGAAATCAAATAAACAGTATTTCCATTTCCTTAAACCTTCTCATGATCTGAACTCTTTGAATGCCTTTCCTCTACTTCATAGTATCTACAAGATGCTTCTTGTAATTGAAGTCACTACAGTGCCATTATATTTAGAAGAAGAGAAAACACAAATATCCTGGGATCTTGCTGCTGCCCTTGTCTGAGGAAAGTTGTGAGCAACTTATCATGTCTTATTACTCATTTGATTTCACCACTGCTGATCATAAAGCATCCTTCCCCTCCACCATGAATATTAACAATTTACTTCAAAGCCTCAAAATAAGGATTGACTTTAAAGCTAAGAAATGATTTTGATTCAAGGTAGAATAAACACTGGAGTAAGTGGGTTATTCACTAACTAAATATGTCATATTTTCCTAGTAGATTTAAAAAAAATTTTTCCTGGAACTTCACTATCTCTGTGGGCCCAGTCTACTACACCACTTCCAGATCATTTAACTACTTCATGCCTCAATGCCCCCTCCTCTACAAGAAGGTTTCAATATCAATGTCCAGCTCCTTCGTTTCTGTGTCTTATTATTGCTGTGTTGGGGGCCTACTGTGGAGAAAAGGGCTAAGTACTGTGGGCAAGTGTTACTGGAACTTCACTCTTAATTATTCCCTATTCATAAAAGTATAAATTACTCCCTTATTTGGTGAATTTTTCTTGGATATCACTTAAATTTATTTCTAGTATAAAAATGCCCCTTTAGAGCCGGGGATTTAGTGCAGTGTTTCCACCACCTGCCTTGCAAGTACAAGGTGCTGAGTTTGATCCCCAGTAACAAAACAAACAAACAAACAAAAAATCAAAAATGCCCCTTTATCAACATTAAGAATAGAAGACAGCTTCTCCCACCGGGAGCCGGCATCACTCCAGCAACAGGAGGGCTGCCTGGGCCCCTATCCACGGTGGGAAGGATAGCCACACCTTCTCCCACCCAGAGCCGCCATCGCTCCAGCACCAGGAAGGTAGTCGCTCAGAAGCCCCTGAACCCCCACAACTCCCCTAACTCCCCACCCCCTGCACTCTCAGACCTCCTGATTGAGCCAGTCTTTGGACCCACTCTGCAGAGGCAGAGGTGATCATAAAGGGTATTTTTCTGAGTTCCCAACTTTGAACACCTTTAAAGAAAGGGTGTGGGAAACCTGTAGTAGAACGGTGTGGAGTTCAACCGCTCAGAAGGTTGGGGAACTCAATCTGGGCCTTGCAGCCTGAGGTCAGTCTGCATCATGGGGTTCAGCCATCAGCTAACTGAGATCAGGGGTCTTGCATCCTAGCTCTGCATGAGCCCCCATCCTAAATGGTAAATATACTATATTGAAAAGTTTGTTCACTGCAGACATGTTTTGGACTGCTTTTTTATTTCAATTTAATTCAAATGGTTTAAGGGTGAAAGACTAGTGACTACCATAGGTGGTCAGTTTCCAAGTTGTGCTTGATCATATTGTATTGCTGATTGTATCAGTTGGGATAAAGGATTGCGGTTGATTTGATGAGCTGCTTTCTCTGATGTTACG